GCCGCACGGAAGGGCCACGCGCTAAGGCGGTGCCTGCGCAGGTTCGCCAGAAATCTGCAGCATGCCGGTGCTGCGGACGAGCGGCCAGACGGGCGCGAGAGACGGAAGGGCCGGGCGACGAAGCCGGACGGGAGGGTCGCCGCCGGCGAGGACGGCACCGCCCGGGCGAGGGAGGAGGCCGTCGCGAGCGCGATCGCCTACTGCAAGGAGTCGAGCCGGCAGCGCTGCAGGCCGCCGTTGGCTCCCTCGCCCTGCTTGGACGGCTGGCTCCTCGTTCGTCCGGAGGAGGAGATCGGCACCAGCGCCACGAGCGCCGTCTCGCCCTGCGAATGCGAGGCGCAGGGCACCTCGAGCGCCGCCGCCCCCCACCACGGCCACGCGGCCTGCGACGGTACGTGTTGTCAACCGATCCGTCGGTCGATCTGCTCTGCTGCACCCGTGCACGTCTAAACCATCGTTGATCTCCTTCGTGCAGCAGAATGCGGCGGCGGCAGGCCGTCGTTGGTGGAAACTCGGCGAGGTCCAGCCGGGGAGATGGAAAAGGGTGACGCTGTCGACGGGCTTGACGGGGACGTCCTTAGGATAACGAGTTACTTCGCCGCCAAATATGTGCGCGCGGTGCGCCATTGAAGAATAGCTCGGGGTCCGTCTCACATGAGGCGAAGCAAACAATTTTTCGTAATCTAGAGGACCTTGTCTTACGTATCTTCGATCTTGTATGATCTGTCCATATCAGTGTGCGAGTAGTAGTAATATGATTGTAGTAAGATCTGTCCATATCAATTGTCGATCTTATTCTTATATGATATGATGGCTTGCAGCGTTCCTAAGATCTAACGAGAATCTCCTGGAGTTAACGACACAATCATTCGATTGTTTCTGAATCAGACTGCAATTTTGAAGCTTAATTGGCAAAGGAGTTAAGATATAGACAATCCTATTTATTCAAACTAGCTTTGCTGAATCGAAAGAAAAGAGACAATTTGGATTCAATCAAAAGAAATTAGAAGATTTTAGTACTGGCATGTATTCACCTCAATCAAAAGAAACTAGGTCACCACTATATGCTCTGTTTGTACTCTACACATGAGGAATATATTCACCTTTAACTTCTTTTTTTGCGGAAATAAGACTTTCATTCATCAACCACGGTCATTACACTCCAGATTTTACATAGAGCGTGAATTCCATCCGGTGCATGCCCATGCACGTTGAATTATCAAATGAGTATAAAGTTGGTCTTTTTTTAACTACTACACTCCAGATTCTCGAGCATGGAGATAGGCGAGTTGTAGACCAAGAGCTGATACAAATATAGGTGAGTTGTAGACAAGAGCTGGTGGGCAGCAAGAAACGCATGCACACCAAAGAACAAATCTGAGTCACATGCCTACTTCTATTGGTTTCTACAAAGAGCGGCTAGCTTAGATCTTAGACCAGTCGGTCACTGTCGAGGTCGCCAAGGTGATCTTACAGCACCGCCGTGGGGATTTCTCATATGATTTTATGTAGGCAAGCCGCAAGCGGTGGTGGTGATTGGCTGGGTGGTGTCGCTGCCTTGGGAAGAGACGAAGTGATGGTAAAAGTAAGCAGGATCCGATGATTCTTCCGTGGGGATAGCCAAAGTCAAGATGTCGACTACAGACTCGTCGCAGACTTGCAGTGAACTTGGATGCGGCGAGCCTGATTTGTGGATCGATGGCGGGTCTTGACTTTGTTAGGCTGAGATTGGATGGTTGCGGAGGGTGGTGTGCTTGGTTGGGTTCCCATGGAAGAATGTGGCCTCCTCGTGGATTTGGTCATGCCCATCCTAGAGAACATTGTGTCCCTAGCTCCCTCGAGGAGCAAGGACAGTGCAAGCGGCAGCAGGGGGTAGGGGTAGATGTGGGGAGGGATGTCGGCGGCTGCTCGAGGTCATCATGATGAAACCCTTGACGTCCCATCTTTATCAATGGAAGTGGAAGAGCACGAAGTCGAGATTGGATAGGAGTTTGAGTTCTTTTTGGCACCGATCGGTTCCCCACTTTAGAGATGTATCTTTTTTGCGTGCGAGCAAACAATGGGTTGATTCTAAAAGGGATAGGCACTTTTCAACAGAAGTGCATGACGGACCAAAAATATGACCTCATTTTATTCGTTTGATAGATATCGTATTATTCGTTGTTGTTCGTTCGGTGAAATTTCCTAATATTTGATTGTTGTGTTTCTAATTAGAGCACCCCATAATCACCCAATATGAGGGGATGATAAATGAAAGATACTGATTATAAATTTTGAAGAGCTCGTGGCAACGCACGGGCGTTATACTAATATCTAAAGGATGCCAAACCACCCACCACAGGGGAGAGAAACAGTTATAACATTTTGATTTCTCTACATCAGCCAAAACATGAACAGGATTAAAGCAGGACGCAGCACGGGATCACCCAATACTCAGGCAGAAACAAAGCGAAATCTTTGGGCAAAAGGATTCCATCCGTGCGCTCTTCTGTAGACTTCGTTTGCTACCTGAGATAGTCCTCTTCGAAACTTCCTTAAGCATTTTTTTACTCTTTTTTGTTTGTTTGCAGAATCACTCATGAATCCAAGAGAGAACACACGATAAATATAACATTGATAGGACTTGAAAGGAAAACGCGTTGAAGAAAACATGATCTATTCCCTGTTTTCCAGACGATTGCAGTTTTTAATAGCTCGAGCTCCATAGGACCTATTATCCTGTCTGTTTATTTTTCAACACTGTATATTGGGATATGTGCTATGGGAGCAGACCTTCCAGTGATTAACAGAGGAAAACAGTGCATTCCTGACGCGCATGGGACCGACAGCATGCATGCCCGTTCGCTCTCACATCCTGCGCATGCACGCTCCTTCTCTCTCACCCTCTCACCCAGATTCTCTCTCTTATTCTTTAAAAAAATATCTCATCGCCTCTCTCTCACTTACAAATTTCCATTTTTCTCTCACAAGCTCTCTTAAAAATTCTCACACGGGCTCCCTCTCCCTCTCTTTCTCTCTCTCCTCTCCATTTCTGCTATTTCTTATAGCTTCTCTCTCTTACACCGGGGATATTGTGTGTTCTCCACACATTTCTCCTCCTCTCTCTTCTCTCTCTCTCCCCTCTCTCTTATCTCTGCCATTTGATACTTTGCAAAAATCTGATACTTGCAAAGAAAAGACTTCACCTCCAACTCTCTCTCTCTCTCTCCACTCTTCATGCTCGCCATTCTATCTGTAAAAGGAAACCAAGGCAGACTCATACGCAAAGTTCTTTCCTGTAGGAGAACAGCTAACAGCTACAGTGTTCACATGAGCACATGCATGTCAGCTACAGCACTACTTTTCATGTGCATGCATGTCAGACTTGAAGCGTGAGGGAAAGCGATAGGAAGAGAGTGGTTCACATGAGCCCAGAATAAAGAAATTCTGTCCCACCGGCAAGTTACAGCTACATAACAGCTACAGTATGTTAAATGTCTGACTCTGACTCTGACCATTGTACGTATCTCAAAGTGAACTGACGATGGGGATAGTGGGTACCGTGGAGCTCGAGCTAGGAAAGAACTTTGTGTTTTCCAAATTGTCCAAATCAAAGCAGCAACTCCAATAGAAACAACAGTTCTATCTTTACCAGAATAAATCGAATTTCGACAAAGATGAAAGAAAGATATAGGTAATTTGGGGTTACCCAGCGCTCCACAAATCAAATTCCATAAGAATCTTGCAAATGAGCATGAAAAGAACAAATGATCGATGCTCTTAGCGACACCACAAAACTCACAAAAATTTGACCCTTTCCATCCTTTCCTAGAGAAATCATTCTTGGCTAGGATCCTCTCCCTTTAATTACAAAAAATTCGCTCTCGTTTGTACTCGAGTCTAGCAAGAGTCCGGCTCGTCTCTCTATCTCTCTCGTCTAGAGTCTAGACTTTGCAGCCTGTGGCATCGACCCTAAGCAAAAGATTCCGTTTAGACTTGGCGTTTGTTCATACGCCGCGCGTGCTCTGACTCACTCCTCTTCTTCTTGCACGCGCAATTCTCGGCCTGCGTCTCTCGTCGGCAAGGGTAATATTACAGTCCAGTGGAGCACCGGCCACGGATCCTTCTTCACTCCTGGATTGCCCCTGGTCTCGTTCTCAAAAAAGCATTGACTCCATGGGAGCTTTCCTAAACGGCCTCGGCGTAGCGGCAGTGGGCTGGTGGTTTGCTCCGGTCATCACCTTCCTGCTCAACAAACTCCTGTCCTACCTCTATGACGCATCTCAAGACTTCATGGATATGAGGTCTGGGACTATGCCAAGACTCAAGCTCACGCTTGGGGAGGTCGTGGAGCAGAGGATGCTGATTAAATTATCAAAGAAAGAATCCGATGTGACCAAACTCAGCGGCCTGGACAGCTTGCTGAAGAAGCTCAAGGATGCTCTGTACGAAGCAGAAGACATCCTCGACCTCGTCGATTATCACCGAATCGAGAAGGAGGTTGGGAAAGCTGGGTCTTCCACCTGGCTGCAGTGGTGTTGGGAACACCTCTGTGACATCACCCGAGAAAAATCAGCCTGGCTGCTGCAGCGGGCCAAGCAGAGCCTGTGCTGGTTGAGGGGATGTTTACACGTCGCCGGAGAAAGATCTGCTCCGCTGCTCCAGTGGTACATGAGAGGTTCTGCTGGTTGTGGCCGTGGGTACGCATCGCCGGACAAACGCCGCTGCAGGTTTGGCTACTTCTTGTTGTGTTCTAGTATACTCCTCTCTAGCCTTCCTCAATTTCGTTTAGATTAAGGCTTTCTCATTTTTCTGCTGTGCTGCGCAGCTGGCCAAGAAGGGCTTGTGCTTGTTATGGGGATGCGTGACTGGACCAGGTGAACTACTACCATATGCTTCCGCGCCCTCGACTTCCTTGGTGCAGAGGATCTCATCGTGTTGTACCTGCATATTCCACTGGTTAACAACCAAGGCAACCAGGGCGATTGAGGGTGCCCGTTACTACCGAGACTGGTCCTTGCATGAGCTTGGCTTCACACGTTATCAACAGGTACCACCTAAAGTCCTCAACATTAAGCTAAATTCCATCCAGTTGGCTAAATGTAAGTTCATTGTTGTTATTCATTTTTTGCTAAATTAGCCATACTAGCCTCTAAACTCTAATCTGTCCAGTCTTCTGGATTAGCTACAAAACCTTATCTTCCGATCTACATTAGTTTGTCTAATTCACATCTAGATGTTTTTTTAAGGATGTCACATCTAAGCTCCCACAAATATATAATGCAGCAACAACAAAAAAATTTAGGACAAAAAAAATAGACCACAAACAGAGCACAACAGCGAGCACCGGCAATGGAGGGCGGCGGAGGTGGCGCGCATGTGCATACGAGGTGTTCGAGGAAATGAGAGAGAGAGAGAGAGAGAGAGAGAGAGAGAGAGAGAGAGAGAAAGAGAGAGAGAGAGAATAAGGTTGATGTTGACGTGTGGAACCCACCTATAATAACGGTCAACTTAACGGTCAAAATAAACGGAGTTGACTTTGCCGCCACGTCAGACCTGACGGGTGGGTTCGCATGTCATAAACATGTTTAAATTGTCTAAACCGGTCATTTTCCGAAAGTGGTAGTTTTTAGTCACAAAATTAGAAAATTTTTAGAGTTTTTGGTTAGTTTAAAAAAATTCAAAATTTCTAGAATGAAAGTCTTTATGCTCTTATTAGTAAGATTTACTAACCTTATGATTTTGGAGAAGATAGGTGGAAGTTGTAAGTCCTATTGTAAGAATACTCCACTTTTCATAATTTTCATAATAAAATATGAGGATTCTATTATGAAAATTATGAAAAGTTCATTGATAGGAAAAGAATACTTAGTACACAGTATAGTTTAAAAAAGTGATAGTTATGTGGGATGGTAACCCCTAAAGTGGTAGTTTTTTTGTCAATCACTTGTATTTGCCCATTAAAAACTAGGCTTGTAACTGTCTTCTTTTCTTCAGCATCTTGTATGGCAGCAAAATCTCCTTTTCTGCTGCTGCTCACTTGCCAACCCCTAGCGCCCCTTAAGCACCCTGTTGTTGATCAGTGCTTAGCAATGATGTAAGTTCTGGCAGTTGTTTAGCGGTGATGTAAGCTCTGGCAGTTGCTTAGCACTGATGTAAGCAACTGGCAGTTGCGGCTGCTGCAACACCCGTTAAAGTTGCTATACTGTTTTGATTTGGAAACTGATTGCTTTTGCAGGCCACCGTTATGGAATCAAATTGCATTATCATGGGACCTTTATATATTCTTCTAAAGAAAAATATGAAAAAGGTAGAAAAACTCATTGATGAAGCACAGGAAATTTTTACATTAAAAAACAAAGTGCAAGAAACTATTGGGCAGGCGGCGAACCAGCAAAGAAGAAACGAACTTGGCATGCTTACTGCAGATGTTACTACTGGAGATAGACAGAAGACTACAGCATATCCAGTGGGAAAGATAACTGACAGAGATAATATTTGTCAGGACATAAGAACAATGCTTCATGCGTCAAAATGTGATGTAGTTGGCATTTATGGCATTGCGGGGTCTGGGAAGACAACACTTGCACAATATGTTTGTAACGCTATGAAAGAGGAAGAGGGAGAGAAAGAGGAAAGGAAACGCCATTTCCACCTTTTTATGTGGATTCACGTCACCCAGAAGTTTAGCGTGCATGCCATTTTCAGTGAGATGTTGGAAGCAGCTTCAGGTAAAAAGGCTGAATATGCTAGCCTTGATGTGATGCAGAAAAAATTAGAGCATGAGCTAAGCACAAAAAGATTCTTATTGGTACTTGATGATGTCTGGTGCAACAAGGATGCCGATGATCAAAATCTGCAACAGTTGATTTTTCCATTGAAATTTGGGTTGGAAGGAAGCAAGATCCTAGCCACAAGTCGAAATAAAGGTGCATTTGCAGCTCTAAGTCCTGAAGTGACATGCACTTCCATTCGAATACCAGACTTGAAGGATGAAGACTTCCATGAAATGTTCATGTATTATGCACTTGGAAGTTCAGGGCTCGTTGACCCTATGCTTGGAGAACTGGAAGAGATTGGGGCTGAAATAGCGAAGAAGCTAAAGAGGTTATCTCTAGCGGCCAGAACCGTGGGAGGACAGCTACGTAGAAAACAAGATGTTTGGTTCTGGAGGAGTGTGCAAGTTAGGGACCTTTTGAACGAGACGACTGGAGCTCTTTGGTGGAGCTACCAGCAATTTGATGAGCATGTGAGGCAATGCTTTGCTTATTGCAGTATATTTTCCAGAAGACATCATTTCAAACGTGATGAGTTAGTACAGTTCTGGATGGCAGAAGTGTTTATAGAGACAACTAATGCTGTACAGGATCCATATGATGTTGGTCAGAATTACTTTGATGAATTGTTGTCGGCCTCATTTCTGCAATTAGGAGAGAGAATAGTGGAACATGGATCTGAGGTTGATTATTTCACTGTTCATGACCTGCTGCATGATTTAGCAGAGGAGGCTGCTAGAGGAGATTGCTTCAGAATCGAGGAAGGTGTCACAGAAGAAGTTCCTCCAGCTGTTCGTCACCTATCTGTTGGGAGTTGTGATATAAAGATGCCTACAGAGAAAATATTTGAATTGCAGAATTTGCGCACTCTTATCATTGATTGCTATATAAAGATTGATTCAACTGATGAAAAAGTCTTCGAGAGAATGTTCAAGAGGTTGAAGAAATTGCGGGTGCTGGTTTTAAGTTTCTCCGCAGATGATGGTTATATATTCTCACTTCCAGCATGTATTGGTCTGTTAAAGCATCTAAGGTATTTTGCTTTCAATGTGAGAGGTAGAGCAAGAATAATTATGCCAAACAGTGTTACCAAGCTTTACCACATTCAGGCGCTAGACAATTATAGTAGCGCTGGTGTGGTTTTTACTGGTAGTAAAAATATTAGTCAGCTCATTAACTTGCGGTGTATACGCAGCATGGAAATTTTTCCAGACATTGGCAGGCTGAAATGGCTCCAAAAGTTAGAACGCTTCAGTATAAGCAAGACACAGGGGTACGAGCTACGACAATTGAAGGACCTAAGCAAGCTTGAAGGCGTGCTAATTATCACGGGTCTTGAGAATGTCCAAAGCAAGGAAGAATCTATTGAAGCCAGTCTTGCACACAAGGACCGGCTGACACAACTTACACTATCCTGGGGTGATACGAGTTGCAGTCCAGAAGTTGAAGCGGAGGTGCTTGAGGGCCTTTGCCCACCGAAATATCTTGAGAGACTAGAAGTTATGGATTACCATGGTTCAAAGTACCCAGATTGGATGGTGGGTCAGCAGAATGGCAGCCCAATGCATTTGCGTAATCTTTGGCTCTTCGGTTGCAGCCGACTTGAATCAGCTCCTGAACTTTTTGAGGTCTTTGTGCATCTTCGTTGGTTTAGGCTTTCGTTCAGCAATTGGCATTCCTTGCCAGATAATATGGAGCGGCTGGCGTCACTCCTGTTACTGGAAATTCATCGTTGTCCGAATATTCAATCACTTCCAGCACTGCCCTCCTCCCTTGAGAGGTTTTTTCTCAGGTCCTGCAGCGAGGAGTTGATGAGTTCATGTGAAACAATTGGACATCCAAACTGGCAAAAGATTCAGCGCATTCCCTATATTTCTATTATCCGTGATTAAGATGGATTGGAAGGTACATCTGCAACTCCTTTGTTCCTTTTATGTAGCTATATGAAATATGTTATAATTAATAAGAGGCATTACGACTTATCAATATGTTTCTTATTCTATTGTTTAAACCTATCAAATACCAGTCTACACGCTGAGAGCGGGAGCTAAAGAAGGTGTCTCTCCATCAGATGCTTGAAGCGCCCCAAGTCCAACACATGGAGATGGCGTTTATGAGGTGAGGTGATTCAATCCGCCAGCCTTCCTGCCAATCTACAGGCTTAACTGTGTGGCGTTTCCTGGGTGTATGTGGTTGGTAACACTTGACCAATTCTATGTACATTTCAGAGGACGCGAAATTAATGTCAGTGGTTGCAACTCATGACCTCCGAATTTATTTGTTTCCTATATGTGGTGTGTACTGTGGAATTGTAAGACAATAGGCTTTGGGGGGAACCGGCACAACCCTCTAAGGGTGACCTATCACATATATATATAATGAGGTGATATACAACGTTACAATATACACATGTAAATACAGTCTAACACCCTCCCTCAATCTTAGCCACTTTCTAATGAATCTAGAAGGGTAAGATTGCGCCTGCAAGTCTCAAACTGTGGCAAAGGCAATGACTTGGTGAAGATGTCACCAAGTTGATCCTTGGAAGAAATAAACTTGATCTGTAGTTGCTTCTGAGAGACACGTTCACGCACAAAGTGATAGTCAACTTCAATGTGTTTCGTTCGGGCATGGAATACCGGATTTGCAGAAAGGTATGTAGCACCGATGTTATCACACCAAAGAACAGGAGGCTGTGATTGGGGTATACTTAACTGCTGAAGCAAGGACTGTACCCAGATAATCTCTGATGTGGCATTGGCCACAGCCTTATACTCAGCCTCAGTACTGCTACGCGAGACAGTAGCCTGTTTCCGAGCACTCCAGGCAATCAGGTTAGAGCCAAAGAAGACAGCATAACCCCCCGTGGATCGCCTGTCATCCGGATTGCCAGCCCAGTCTGCATCAGAATATGCTGAAAGACAACCAGAGTCAGACGGCCGAATATGCAAACCATGAGCCACCGTGAAACGAATATAGCGCAAAATCCGCTTAACAGCAGACCAATGAGTGTCACGGGGTGACTGCAGATACTGGCAGACTCGGTTAACAGCATAGGAAATGTCTGGTCGCGTGATCGTCAAGTACTGGAGCCCACCAACAATACTCCGGTACTCGGTCGCATCAGAAGAAGAAAGAAGCACACCATCAACAGCATTGAGCTTATCAGTGGTAGACATGGGTGTAGTCGTCGGTTTGCACTTAAGCATCCCAGCTCGCTGCAACAAATCCAGAGAGTACTTCTTCTGCGTCATAACAAGACCAGCAGCACGAGAAGTAACCTCCACACCAAGAAAGTAATGAAGCTTCCCAAGGTCCTTGACCGCAAAATCAGCACCAAGTGAGCGAACAAGCGCAGTAGCAGCCGACTGAGAGGAGCTGACCAAAATGATATCATCTACATAGACCAACAAGTACATAGTAACCTCAGGCCTTTGAAGAAGAAACAATGAGGAGTCAGCAGTTGATGATGCAAAACCATGAGCACGAAGAGCCATTGCAAGACGAGCATGCCAAGCACGAGGAGCCTGCTTCAGACCATAAATTGCCTTGGACAGACGACAAAGATGATCAGGGCGATCCGGATCAGAGAAACCCGGAGGCTGGCGCATGTAAACCTCCTCCGCCAAGACACCATGAAGAAAAGCATTTTGAACATCAAGCTGACGAAGAAACCAACCTCGAGTAACAGCCAGAGAGAGAAGAAGTCTGATGGTAGTAGGCTTGACCACTGGACTGAAGGTGTCTTCATAGTCAAGTCCAAAACGCTGTCGAAAACCACGAGCAACCAGACGAGCCTTATAGCGCTCAATGGACCCATCAGAATGCCTCTTCACTTTGAAAACCCATTTGGAATCAATGACATTTACCCGTGATTGTGGAGGAACAAGAGTCCATGTCTGATTGTGAAGAAGCGCTTGATACTCCTGCTCCATGGCCTCTCTCCAATGAGGAATGCGCATAGCAGCTTGATACGTGCGTGGCTCAGAGGATGGATCTGCGAGAGCAGCAGACATGCACGCCGCTAACCAAGCAACTATGCCATCGTGACGTTGCTTAGGCTGAAAAATGCCACTCCGACTGCGCGTATGTGGACGTAGAGCAGCAGCAGGAGACGGCGGAGGCGAAGGTGACGGAGACGTGACGGTCGCCGGAGATGCAGGAATCACCTCAGGCGAGCTCGGGACAGACTACTCCGGGCTGCATGCCGAAGACTGGCCCGACGACAGGGGCTCAGAGGCCATGGCGAACCGAGAGTGGGCGAGGCCAGCTCCCGTGACACCGGCCCAGACGGCCTTGGCGAGGCGAGAGCAGGCGAGGCCGGCCCTGGTGAGAAGGGCCCAGACACCCTGGGCGAGGCAAGGGCGGGCGAGGCCAGGCCTGGTGATGACTGCCCCGACGCCCTGGGCGAGACGGGGACCAAGGAGGCCGGCCCAGTCGGCGGGGTTGCAGGGCGCGACGATGGCGAAGGCAGCCCAGAAGCCAGAGGCGACCAGGCCAGGACGTCGATCGGCCGTGCATGAGCACGGAAACCGAGGCCATGCAGGGGCGCCATGTGCTCCTCATGCACAACAGAAGGTGCCGAGGATGAAGGCGATGGCGACGAAGAGGAAGATGGCGCTTCCAGAATCTCCAAACGAGCCCCACGACCAGTGCCTGCACCATGGTTAGGCAACAATAGAGGAGAATATGCAACATCATCAAATTGGTCAGAAGCAACAGAGGATGAATGCATGACAGGTGGCTCGGTAGTGGACACAGGGAGGTTGGCAAAGGGAAAAACATGCTCATCAAACACAACATCCCGAGAGATGTAGACACGATTAGTGGGAACATGAAGACATTTGTATCCTTTATGAAGAGAGCTATAACCAAGAAAAACACACTTCTTGGAACGAAACTCGAGCTTACGCTTGTTATATGGACGGAGATGGGGCCAGCAAGCACACCCAAACACCTTGAGAAAGGTGTAGTCCGGTTATTTATTAAGGAGAACTTCAATGGGAGTCTTCATATTCAAAACACGAGTGGGAGTACGATTAATGAGAAAACATGCAGTGGTGAAAGCATCACTCCAAAAACGAAACGGAACAGATGCATGGGCCAAAAGAGTCAGACCAGCTTCAACAATGTGACGATGCTTACGTTCTACTGAACCATTCTGCTGATGTGTATATGGACATGCTAAACGGTGAGTGATCCCAAGCGACTGAAAGAAGGAGTTGAGGTTGCGATACTCGCCACCCCAGTCCGACTGAACATGAACAATTTTGTGCTTGAAAAGGCGTTCAACATGTTTTTGGAACTGAACAAAAATGTCAAACACATCAGATTTACGTTTGATAAGATAAAGCCAGGTAAAGCGGCTATAAGTATCAACAAAACTGATATAATAATTATGACCACTAACAGAAGTCTGAGCAGGACCCCATACATCTGAAAACACAAGTTCTAAAGGATGTTTCACCTCACGACTGGACTTCGAAAAAGGAAGTTGATGACTCTTCCCCTGCTGACAAGCATCACACACTGCTACATCTTTATTACTAGACACACTAGGAAGCTCATGACGACGCAAAACATGCCGGACAATAGGTGTGGCCGGGTGACCAAGACGAGCATGCCACTGTGACGGAGATACCCGAACTCCACTGAAGACGCGAGCGACGCCAGGATGCTCCAGACGATAGAGACCTTGGCAGAGCCGCCCACTAAGAAGAATGTCCCTCGTGCCCCGATCCTTAATAAAAAGATCAAAAGGATGAAATTCACAAAGCACATTATTATCACGAGTGAGTTTAGGAACTGAAAGAAGATTACGTGTCACAGATGGAACTCGAAGAACATTGCAAAGTTGAAGACTCCTATTGGCATGTCTAGTGAGAAGTGATGCTTGACCAATATGAGAGATGTGCATACCTGCTCCATTGGCGGTGTGGATCTTGTCGGAGCCATGGTAGGGTTCACGAGTGTGAAGCTTCCCCATCTCACTGGTCAGGTGCTCTGTCGCCCCAGAGTCCATGTACCAGTGGGGATCAATGGAGTAGGACTGAGTGTGTCCCTGTGGCTTCTGCGGCGGCGGACGATCAGCCATGGCGACCTGACGAGCAAAGTTGCGTGTATCCTTCCCGTCATTGCCAAGACCAAGAAAACCCCGCTGGAAGCGCTTGTGACACTTCGAGGCCCAGTGCCCATCGCGACCACAAAGCTGGCACACACGTGGACCGCCAGCCCCTGGTAGCGTCGCAGTAGGAGGAGGGGCCGAGGCGGTTGGTGGTGACTGCCCCGAAGGAGCCCTGGATGAAACAGAGGAGCGACCACCCTTGGTGGCGGCGTTTGCCGAGAGGGCGCCGTTGCCCCTGGATCGGCGCGTCTCGACTCGTTGCTCAGTAAGCAGGAGGCGTGAAAAGACCTCGTGTGCTGGCATGGGCGTGGAGTTTCCCCTCTCATTGATGATCTCGACTAGGGCGTCATACTCCTCATAAAGACCATTGACGATAAACGAGTTGAACTCGGAGTCGGTGAGGGGCTGTCCAATGGAGGCCAGCGTGTCGGCGAGACTCTTGACTTTGTTGTAGAACTCAGTGGCGGTGGAGTCAAGCTTCTGACACTCCCCAAGTTGGCGACGGAGCCCAGATACACGAGCCTGCGACTGTGCCGCAAACGAGCGCTCAAGAATAGTCCATGCCTCGTGGGACGTCTTGGCGAAGACAACAAGCCCAGCAACGGCCGGAGAGAGCGACCCCTGGATGGAGGAGAGGTTCGCCTGATCCTGCCCTGTCCAGACACGGTGAGCCGGATTATAGACCGGACCATGCACGCTGTCAACCAGCGCAGGAGGGCAAGGGAGAGAGCCGTCGACATAGCCAAGCAGGTAGTGACTCCCAAGAAG